TTCTTTTTGGTAAACCACCAAAAGTTGATCATCTCCGAGGATTTGGGTGTTTATGCTACTCTACAAATTTAAGGGGGCATGATAAATTTTCTCCTTAGGCTATTTCATGTGTTTTTATGGGTTATCCGATGCATCAGAAAGGTTATTGACTATATGATATCACCTTAGGGAAATTCCTGGTTTCTAGGGATGTGGTTTTTCATGAAGATTCCTTTCCTTTTTTAAACAAGTCCCTTTCTAATGAATCTCCGCAGTCTCCACCTTTTTTAGAAGATCCTTTAGCAGCGGAACTATCAGGATCCTATTATACCATGCATCCCATTCATGATATGGGACCCTCCAAGTTGACCTCAGAACCAGTTTCCGCAGAGATCCATCTCCTAATCCATCCCCAGAGAACCAGCTTCCCACTCCACCGCCACTGGATAATACTCCTATTGTTCCTGTACCTCCTCAGAGACATTCCACAAGGGTCACTTGCCCACTTGTTTGGACAGCAGATTATGTCTGCCCTACCATCCAGACTACCACAGGTACTACTTACCCTACTTCCAACTATGTTACTTATGATCGACTGTCTCCTACCCACAGGATTTGTATCAATTAGATTTCTGCCCAACAAGAGCCTTATTGTTACTCTGACGTTGTTCCCCATATACATTGGTGTCAGGCCATGGCCGATGAACTCAGTGCTCTCTCTCAGAATCATACTTGGGATCTTGTTCCACATCCTTCTCACAGGAAACCCATTGGTTGCAAATGAGTTTACAAGATCAAGCACCGTGCTGATGGATCCATTGAGTGCTACAAGGCTCGTCTTGTTGCTAAAGGTTTCATTCAGAGAGAAGGTTTTGATTACCAAGACACCTTTTCTCCAGTAGCCAAACATGTCACTATTCGGGTTTTCTTGTCTATTGTTGCCATACGTGACTGGCCCCTTCATTGCTACTCTCTCTTCACATGGCTACTCTCTCTTCACATGGCACAAAGGTACCACCTTCATTACTCTTATTATTTATTTTGATGATATTCTAATAACTGGGAACGATGAGGATGACATTCGCACCCTAAAAGAGCATCTCAACAAACATTTCCGTATAAAAGATTTGGGAGAACCAAAGTATTTCTTGGGCATTGAGGCTGCACCTTCCTCGGCAGGTATTTCTCTAAGTCAAAGGAAATATGTTTTAGAACTTGTGTCCAATTCTGGTTTATCAGCATGCAAACCCAACATCATTCTTGTGAAACAAAACATCAAACTCACATCACAACAATATGACCATGAGACAGCCTCTTCAGAAAATGATCCTCCGTTACAAGACCCATCTCCTTATCAGAGACTCGTAGGAAGACTCATCTATCTCACCATGACAAGGCCTGACCAAGTTATGCAGTCCATATACTAAGTCAGTTCATGCATGGACCAAAACAATCTCATATGGATGCAGCAATCAAGGTACTTAAGTATTTAAAAGGATGTCCTGGATTAGGACTCCTTTTACCCCGAGATAGGAATTTTGACATCACAGCATACTGCGATTCAGATTGGGGTACCTGTCCTATGACTAGAAAGTCTCTTACAGGATTTTGCATTAAAATTGGAAGATCCCTTATATCATGGAAAACAAAAAGGCAATCAACAATATCACTTTCCTCAGCTGAAGCAGAATATAGAGCAATGGCAAAAACAACTTGTGAGATTGTCTGGATTCTTGGATTATTCAAAGATTTAGGAGTGAAAACAGGAAAACCAGTCACTTTATACTGCAATAACAAAGCTGCTAATGATATCGCGACAAATCCAGTTTTCCATGAAAGAACCAAACATATAGAAATTGACTGTCATTTCGTCAGGGAGAAAATTCAGGAAGGGATTATCAAGACTATGCACGTACAAACATCGAAACAACCAGCATACATATTCACGAAGCCTTTATGTAGTCATCAGCATTCTTATTTACTACATAAGCTTGGGGTTTTCGACATCTACAAACCACCAACTTGAGGGGGAGTGATGAAATATGGAATGCTGAAGATATTTATGCTGGAATCAAACAATTATTGATTTACAATTATTTGATTGATTATTGTAATATTTTGTAATTAAGACCTTATTACATTTCCTTTACTGTATTATTTCATTACCTTTATTGTATTCAAAGCCACTATATAAATTGGCTGATGTATTTATTACAATACAAGAAATATACATAAAATTACAGTCTTTTATTATCTCTTTTCTTGACATTCTTCGACATTGTTTCAGTCACTTTGTCAAGCTTCCATCCATTGGCATTTTTCGGCAGTGTTCTGCCTCTTCTGCCTTCCTTCCAGCTCAAACTCTGACACAAAGATAATTTTTGAATTTTTTATTTTTTCTGGTTACAAATAAAGATGCCTCCGGAATTATAAGTAATTTATTGAAGGAATTTATTTAGAGTAATAATATGTCTATAATAAATTAATAATAATTATGGTTGTCAAATCGTGTATCGTATCGTGTATCGAATACCTAATTTTTTGTCGTGTATTGTATTGTATTGTATCGTAGAATACGACTTTTTTCAAAAAAATTAATAAAATAATAAAAAATTTCTAAAAAATAATATCATCCCAAAGATTAATTAAAGAATCTTGTAGTATTATTAGCTTTAAATTATGGTATTACGTAATCAAAATTAATCACAAAATTAAGAATCCTATTCCCAAAATACTTGTTTGTTTTGTTATTTGAGAAATATTAGTATATATTTTATTAATTTCTTTTAGTCCCCTTAAGTTTATTAATTTCATTAAATACCCCCAGAAAAAGTTTAAAAATTAATAAAAACACCCCCACCCACCCATACTTGCTAGATTCCAGCAACCACCGTCAGTGGTAGCCGGAATCTGTCACAACGGCCTACAAACGACCAGAATTGGCTTGTAATTCACCGATCTGGCCGTTAGGGACGGCCAAATCTTGGCCATCGTTGACTGAAAATGACGGCCATATCTTTGGTCGTCGCTGACAGCCAGATCTGGACTTTTGCGGCCATCAACTGCCAGATCTGGCCAGAAAAGACCATATTTACACCCTACCCGCTAGATCCAATCGGTCTGCATTGTAACACCATTTTTCGGCTAGATTCCGGCGGAGGTTGCCGAAATCTAGCATCGTGGGTGGGTGGGGGTGTTTTTGTCATTTTACAAAATTTTTATATATTGGGGTGTTTAGTAAATTAGCAAACCTATGGGGTTTTTTTTGTTAATTTTTAAATTTTACCTCGTAATACTCCCCTATTCAACTACCCAATATTATTCCCAAAATCCTATCCAAAATAACAAAACAAACGGACCCTATATCATTTTCTCTCAACGATTCATATCATTTATAATATTAATGTCAATATCTATATTTTCACTTGTATTATTATTATCATGCAAAATAGGCAACACATGTTCCTCTTCACTTTTTCTATGCAAAATTAGTAAATTTGGGCAAGTTTTAGTGAACTGGGGTTGGGTGACTCGGATCCGACCCGATTTTTTTTTGGACCTTTGGCCCAAATTAATAAAGTTGTATCGATATTTTTAAGGATACGAATTGATACGTATCGTATTGTAGGATATATATCAATATATCGAAAAGTTTAAGATATACTCTCTTATACGTATCATTGGCAACCTGTATTAAATCGTATCGTAGGATATGTATTGTATATCTTAGGATACTAATAACCATGATAATGATAATAATAAAAGGTTTTCATAGTGAAAATATAAACATATATTGTTTAATAATTGAGCACTTTGCCTCTATCTTTATTCTTTAAAAGAAAAAAAGAAAAGAAAAAGAAAAAGGTAAAAATAAAACCTATTTAAAGTTTTATATCTAAGTTTTCTTTGTGCTTTATGTCTCATAGAATTTTTTATAAGCATGTTTTGATTTATTTATAATTATAATTTTATAATTTTTTTTTTTAACTATTGGATGAAAACAATTACTAGCTTTTTTTTTTTTTTTTTTTAAATAATTGAAGTGTTCGAGTTAGCTTACATGCACTTTAATTAATCACCGTGACCTATTGAACACCCTATAAGTCTAATATGTCAAGTAACTCACAAATGTGGTAGGTGTCTAAGTGACCACTTTGTGGGACTCGAACACAAGATATTTGTGTAATAATTGCAAGTTTTACGGTTACATGTCTAATTGGTTGGATTTATTAATCGAAAAAAAAAAATTTAAAAGCTCTTCATATATATATATATATAACTCATCTAGGCTATGGTCTGATCTAAGTTCGATTATCTAAGTGGACCCAAAAAAAAAAAAAAAAAAAAAAAAAAAAAAATATATATATATATATATATATTATTTTGTTGGGTTGAAAAATAAAATAACCATATATTGATTATTATTTATTTTATTTTGAAAAATAACCCATCTCAAAAAAGTAAACCATATATATTAATACTATCTTCAATATGTTTAACTAAGTAACTGTTGTGAAATGCTTCTACTTACATCTTTTTTGACCAATATGCTCGGCCTATTAAACGTTTGATCATATAACATTTGAAAAGCTTACGTATTTGATTATACAACTCTTGAGTGTATTCGGTGATGATCAATACAAAGTACAAACTACTCTACTCGCAGCTTTGTTTTATCGTTGTACTTGTCAATATCTAACATTAACTTTAGGACCTAAAGATTAATTGAGATGTGTATAAATTGATTTGAACACCCTTTATTAAAAAAAAAAAAATAATAATGACAATCGAACGTTTCTACTCGCATCTTTTTTTATCATTATATTTGATGGTATTTATCATATCAGACGTATTCGTTAACATTTTCGAGAGCATCAAGTACGAAGAAGTTTGAAACTATCCTTTCAAAAATATTTTTTCATTAATAGTTATCAAAATTAGCTAAATAGACAAAATAAGAGTTCTAATTTATTTATTTATTTGGGTTATTTCTTCACGATAAGGTTGTTTATTTAAAATTGAAACGTAATGTGTGAGACAAGAAGGAAAGAAAAACAAGCGGGAGAGCGTATAGCAGGAAGCAACACCAACAACAAAAGTGTAAGTAAAATAAAATAAAGTTGAAGCAAAGCCCAATCCCATGAGAATCTCTTTCATCATCTTTAATTAATTAATTCAAATTCAATTGAATTAATTAATTCAAATTAATTAATTGAGGATTCTTCTTACTGTTCTTTTGACGAGCAACACACCAACCTTCAACTCAATTGCGGTTGTTTCAGAAACAAAATAGAAAACAAAACCATGGACGATGGAGTCGTTCAACGAGTGTTTCAAGAAGGAGGACGGGATTATTTTCAACCGCAACCCTCCACTTCTTCTTCGTCTTCCTCTTCAATTCTCCAATCGCTCCCTCTCCACGTGGTTTGTTTTCTAATTTTTGTGGGTTTTTTTTTTTTTTTTTGCTTATTTAGATTATTGTTTTTTTTTTTTTTAATTCTATTTACTACATTTGGCCGTTCGGAATTCTGGGTTGATTTTAGTTTGGAAATTGGTTTTGTTGTTGTTATTAGATTCTTGAAAGTGGGTCGTTGAGATATTTGGGAACGAATATTGTTTTGTTGTCAACTTGTTTCTGTGCAATTTGAGTTTTGTTGTGTCTTTGAATGAAATGGTTTTGGCTTGTTGAAATTTGGTTGTCATGTGCTTGTTCTTCTAAAAAATTTGTGCTTTGCGTGTGAATTTCTGATTTTCCGTGTGTTAATCTATGTTATGTGTGTTGGAAGTTTTGTTATTTTGATATGAATTATTAGTAATAGGATACAAGAGGCCTAAATTAATGATTTAGATAATTATTGTTTTGTTACTGATTGAGTTTCTTTCAATGTGTATGCTTGTGTTGTTATTGTTTTGTTACTGATTGAGTTTCTTTCAATGTGTATGCTTGTGTTGTGGTCTTGTGTGTGGGCTTTTCTTTCCCAGTAATGGTTTGCATGTAAAGTTTACAATGTCTTCTTCTTGCATAGCTTAAACGCATGGAATCTAGTTAGTCTCTTACTTTTTATTGTATTGAATTTGATCCTTTACTGTAATGTTCTGTTCGAGAAGTTAAACTGTTCGAAGACTTGTAAAGTTTTAGTGTGCGGTTTTTTGAATGTTGGCAATGTGTTTGTCAGGATTCGTGATAGTGCTTCATCTGTAATCCCTCCATTTTTCTGTATGTGATCCTCAGGTCTCTGTTGCAAATGGTTGCCATTCAACAGAAATTTATATAGTGAAATTATCATATGATTTTTGATACTGATCTGCATGTTGGTGAAAGTTTTCATTTTTTTTTTTTCTATCCGTATGAAGAATTCTCATTATTCTTGGGTTGAAATGTTGCAGTCTTTTGATCATGGGTATTATTTGTTAGTAAAATCTATTCAAGAGCTTAGAGAGAAGAAAAGGGGTCTTGTTACAGTTGGCATTGGTGGTCCAAGTGGTTCGGGTAAAACAAGGTACATGCTGTATGTTTTATGTTCAATTATTTTGAATCTATGAGGAAGATTTGTGCAGCAGAAGCACTTACTTTTCCCTCTTTAATAAATATAATTTGTTGGGTTTATTTGATGGTTCTTAAAGCTTAGCAGAGAAGGTTGCATCTGTAATTGGTTGTAATGTTATATCAATGGAGAATTATCGTGTTGGAGTTGATGAGGGGAATGATTTGGATGCAATAGATTTTGATGCATTAGTGCGAAATCTAGAGGTTTGTCTCCACTTCACACCTCTTTATTTGAGTCTTTGAACTCACTGGATGTAGTCATGTCCGGACACTTTGCTAAGTCCTATACAATCATTGTAGTATTTCAAAATGGTTTTGAATGAGTTTGTGGGCTTTGGGTTCTGTAAAATTTAAAGGTTGATGGATTTCTTTAATCCATCAAAGAGTTAAGTGTTAGTACTTCATACAAATATTTGTAAAGTAAATCTGGCTTATTTTGTGTGGTAAAATTCTGTCTCATAGCCATCCGTTTTTAGTAGCTGGATGCATTGCTGATGCAGTGTAGGGATAAAATAAAAGACTTGTCGATTCTGGGAAATTGAAACAAAAAGAAACCTCATTTATTTGCACTTAATAACGATCAATCTATGAACGCTAAGAATAAGATTAAAATACTAACGAGATAAAACCTAATCCAACTTGATGATAATAATCTTAAATAAATGTAAAAGTAAACGAAATCCTAACTTAATAATCTAATTTGATTATAATAATCTTAATAATGTGTATATGATAATTACAATTAATTAAATAAAAAATATTCCTAAAAGCTTCATCTTGATAAAATTTGTATGCTGTCTTCAACAATTGCATATATAGTTTGTGGTAATATGTGTTGCCTTAAATCCTGTGTAAGGCTTGCATTTTGTTTAGCATGATGAGGCATCCTCTGTTTTAATAACAGGATTTGACAAAAGGTAAAGATACTCTACTACCTATGTTTGATTTCCAACAAAAGAGACGCATTGGTACAAAAGCAATAAAGAGTGCTTCATCTGGTGTGGTAAGAGAGTGTAAAGTGCATATACTATGTATAACCACTGCTGCTATGGATTTCATATAATTACACTTTGTTTGTAGGTAATAGTTGATGGTACCTATGCTCTGCATGCAAGGTTGCGCTCTGTGCTAGATATTCGGGTTGCAGTGGTAATTTTCTGATCCCAAGGCGATTTTGCTTTGGGTGAGGTTTTGCTGGGTAATCAATTTTTTTTTTTTTTTTTGTTTAAAACACTAATATGATGTTTTCAGGTTGGTGGTGTTCATTTTAGTCTTCTTTCCAAAGTTCAATATGATATTGGAGATTCTTGTTCACTGGATGACCTTATTGACAGTATTTTCCCATTGTTTACAAAACACATTGAGCCAGATCTTCATCATGCACAGGTTCGCGTTTCTGTCTTCTTGCCTCTGAAGATTAACTGCTGGTTTTGCTTTTGATTGATGGATTTATTTTGCAGATTAGGATTAACAACAGCTTTGTTTCATCATTTAGAGAAGCAATTTACAAGCTAAAGTGCAGAAGTGAGGTCTGTACATATTCTTTAGCTTTGTGTGTTAATAAATCTCTTGACATACTTTCTGTACTTGGCAATTGCATTGATTTTCTTTTCATGTACCAATGTTGCTTTGATGTCTCAGAAATTGGAAATGGGACAAGTTTTTTCATTGCATTAACTTGCATATGCAATTTTGCTTGCTTTTTGTAATTTTTGACTGCATTTTGCAGAATAGAACTATTAATTCTGTGTGGATTGTGCTGATTGGCATTTTCTAGTACTTATAGTTTTTAGTTTTTGTGTTTGCTTCTTTTTCTATGGTGATGTACTAGGATTGAAGCTGCATGCATTCAGTTGCTCATTCAAAATGTTATAAGGCTTCTCTAAAATGACTTAATGTTGATTTCGTTGTTGCTCATGGCCTCCAGAAAATTTTCCTCTTTCTGTGAAAATAAGTAGTTCATTACAGGAAACATTCATCAGACCACTCTCTAATTGAAATACTACTATATTGGTAAATTGTTGTGACAGGAGTCAGGTGGACTTTCTGCTTCTGCCTTCCAAGGAAATGAAGCAAAAACGGATAAGTGAGTTGTTGTTTATAGTTCTGATTCCTTACTGTATATAATTCTGAGAAGATTGATGCTTCTAAGCTTTGGTTAAAAATGATATCTTGCTTTCAGTTTTATTGAGATGTACCTTAGGCCACCGTCAGCAAGTGAAGAAGCAAGAATAAATGATTGGATTAAGGTGCGGCAATCTGGTATTAGATATTATCTATCCCTTGGAGACCAGAGGATTGTAGACAAAAACTTCATCATCAGGCCAAAAGCTGAGTTTGAGGTGAGGCATATGTTCCCGGTTGATGTTTCTAGCATTATTATTGTCATCAGAGCACAGTCGGTGCTTAGGTTTTGTTTTGCACTTAAACCTGTGCTGCTTTCACTCCAATTTCATGTGTGATTATCTTACTATTTGTGCTAATGGATTTGTTGTACTTCTTTCCAAATAGATGCTAACCCTTATAGCCCTTGTATCGGATGTTCTGTAATAGTATGGCATTAAGTTGTGATAGTAAATGCGTGCAGTTCCATGACTATAATTAAGAGCTCGCTGCTGAAAAATTTAGTCATTTTGAAAATTTATTTTCCTTCCTTTTTCTTCTTCTTTGTGATGCTGTTTTGTATTAAGAACACCTCTTGGTTCTTGATATGTGGGAAAAATGTTTCTAAAAATATGTATTGTAATACTTTATAGTATATCTTTAGATGGCTACTATATGATAACCATTGATGGTCTTCTCACCTGTTGAATAATGTAATATTGTCACAGGTTGGACGGATGACGCTTGGTGGCTTGCTCGATTTGGGGTACTCTGTTGTTGTGAGTTATAAACGAGCATCTACGTCTGTTATTATTGGCAATCTTTCATTGTCACTTGAAACTATTGATACTCTTGGCGAGACATTCTTGGTGCTGAGGGGCACAGATAGGAAAGTATGAACTTATTTGTCTTTCTTAAGTTAACATTTAGGATTTCCTTTTGTTCTCTTAATATTATTGCAAAGGGATTTCCTTTTACTTGGTGCTGGCAACTCTATAAATATGACATAGTTTTCTGTTTTATGTCAGACTTTGATTATGGTTGATTCTTTGGCTTACTGGAAAGTTCGAATCTTCTTTAGTACTCTGACATTTAGATTTTATATTTTTGGTGATAATGTGAACAATTAATGCAATGAGCACTTGTGTCGGTCTATTATTTTGTGGCCCTGAAAGAATTGTGTTCTAACAAGGGCATGGAAAGTTAGACATGAAAATTCCCTAATCTCTCTTTCTGTGTGCACTTCCAAAAATAACTACATGTGGAAAGAATAATGATACGATGGCTGTGGACCTGACAAATCAACACATAATACCACATGCTTTTGCCAATTTTTTAATGTAAATGAAGTTTCTAAATGATAGCTGGGAATGGGTGGATATGAGTGTGCGTCTGATGCACAAATTTTAAGTTGAAGTGTCCTTACCGTAGATGGCAGTCTACTACTGTATTATGTAGTTTATATGGTCATTGTGTCATTGAAAGTGTGTGATGTTTCCTACGCTGCATTCCTGCTCATTTTCCCCTCTTTTTAGATTTCAAACTTCATAAATCAGTTAAGCTTTTGTTTTACAAAATGTATCTCCTCTGTTAGATTTGTTCATATTTTCTCATTTGTTTGCTGGACCTCAGATTTGTGCTGTTCTATTTTTTGAAAAATTTATATCTTTGATGCTTTGGCCTATCACTCTACTATTGTGTAGACAGTTGGAGCTGAAGCTTTGAGGATGGGTATTAATGGACCATGGATTACAAAATCATACCTGGAAATGTTTCTTGAGAGTAAAGGTCAGTAACTTAACTTTCATTTTTGAAATCTCTTTTTCTATAGATTTGTTGTTCTTTAATGTAAGTTGTGGTCATGGTCTTTCCAACGAAGTCAACTTCACTTGCAGGTGTACCACGCCTTAGTTCACCACCACTTTTGCCAAATACAACGGCGACTAGTAGTCAAGAAAGAGTAATTGCTGCCCCAAAGCCAATCCGTACCGCTTCAAACCCTGTTACACGGCTTGAGGATCTTTCTCAACCATGGACTCGGTCCCCAACAAAATCTAAAATGGAACCTGTATTAGCAACATGGCATTTTATCTCATCAGATCCATCACATGCTGATAGTTCAGCCATAGGTATGTCTGCTCTTTTTGGAGAATGGCTTGACTGGCTTTAAATGTAATCGCTAAAAAACTGTATCTTGGGAGTTATACTTTTCGATTTCGTGTTTAGACTTCTCTCATGAAGCAACCACAGGTTCTTCCTCTTTCAGGAATACCATAAAGCTTGCTCCAATGCCTGATTCATATGACTTGGACCGAGGATTGCTTCTTTCTGTTCAAGCCATACAGGTAACGATTATAAGTTCTTGGGAAATTATTTCAGAGACTGCAATGATGAAATGCAGTCATGGCAAGGAAGCTCGTAATTATATTTTATCAGATAATGTTCATGTGCTTTTGTTTATTGTTTCAGGCTTTGTTGGAGAATAAAGGTCTTCCTGTTATAGTTGGAATTGGTAATGCATTCGTTAGCTCTCTCTCTCTCTTATATATTTCTGAGAGTGCAGGTCAGCTAGGATGACTTAATATAGCTTGTTAGGATGGCAAGAATATAAGGATTAACAACTATTTAAATGATAATTAAATGATCCATCTGATTGATGAAATTATAAAATTTCTTATGAAAGCAAAAGGATTAATACTTTTGACTTAATTTATATCTTCTCTGGGAGTTTGCCCTTGTATAGCTGTTTGGTTTATTTAAGCCCTTGAATGGTACCTTTTACACTGTTGCTTGTTTTGACTTTTTGTCATTGCAGGAGGTCCAAGTGGATCTGGAAAAACTAGTCTGGCTCATAAAATGGCTAATATTGTTGGTTGTGAAGTAGTTTCCCTTGAAAGCTATTTTAAACCTGATCAAGTGAAGGATTTTAAGTATGATGACTTTAGCTCTCTTGATCTATCTTTGCTTTCAAAGGTAGGGTGAAAACAATTGTGTAAAATATATTTGAGTTTTCTGAATTTTGAATATGTAAAATATGATATTACATAAGTTCTTGATTGTTTTTCCCTAAAATTACATCATCTTTGCAAGTTTTCCTGAACAACTAATCACCTTTGCTGATTGAGAGCCGTTTCTTAAGTTTTCTTTTTTCTTTAATTACATATTCATGAGAGATGTCTAATGACAATAATTGGGTTCTTTAGTCTCAATTTTTATAATTGTGAAATTAGAAATGATTGTCAACTTTTAGCAATGAGAGTTGTGTATAAAACTGAATGCATACTGGTTACAGACGTTGATTTATGCTTGATGGCTATTAGAACTCAAATTTATAATGTACTGTTATTTCTGTCATTTATCTGCAGAATATTAGTGACATAAGGAATGGTCGAAGAACAAAGGTACCTATATTTGACTTGGAAACTGGTGCTCGTAGTGGCTTTAAGGAACTTGAAGTTTCTGAAGATTGTGGCGTCGTATGTTATCTCACTTATTCTGTTGCTTCCAGAGCTAAGCTTTTCTGGATTTTTTATTTTTCTGCTCTTGCCTAGAAGACATGTTAACATAAACATCCAAGGCCATTAACGGGGGAAGGAAGAATAGGAAGTAGAGTTTCAGTATTTCTCTCCTTGACACAACTGGTTCATTATGATTTTGTTAGATGTCTTGAGACATTTAATTCCTTCAGGTTGATGTTCATATACCCTATTTCCTAATTGGGCATATATACCGTAAGAATGTATTTTTTCTATTGGGGACTAGTCCAAGTTGCCAACATAAGTGTCAGTGGTTTCAGCTTCAAACAAAGATATGTGTTGAAAACTTTCCTGTGCTTGTTAGACAACCAATGAAGAAGCTAAAGAAGAATTAGATGATATAGGGACAGCGGAAAGTGGTTTCTAGTCCTTACGGAAGTAGATAAGAGAGCTGGTATGTCATGGTCTTGCTTCTCAATTACAATAGAAAAAGGGAGATAGTAAGAAAGGGGAAAAGAGAAGTGTGGACAGGAGAGTAAGGCAGGGAGAGAAGGATGAAGCTATAAGCTCTGTTAAGAAATTATGAATTCACTTATATTTTCTAATCTTGTTTAGTTTGATGGGTCCTAGATCTTGAGAACTTGTATAGAGCTTCTTTGAACATAGTATCTAATTAAAATTTGAAATGTTTTTCCTATAAGTAGTTAAGCTTTCTAAATGAAGTTTCTTGAAGGATAGTTTTTGAAACGTTTGGTATCAGAACAAGTAGAAGCTGAAATTATAAGTGGCCCCCTTTTGACTCAAAGCCATTTAATTTTCAATGTTGTGACGTTTAAGTTTGGGTTCTGCATTAAATAGTCTTCAAGAATGCATGAAGTTGATGGTTTTTGTTGAGACAAACAATGGATGCTATTTTCAATGTCACTTGAGTAATTGTCTGTGGAACTAGCACTTGCTAAGGTAAAGGAACTTTGAAGCTGTGAAGAAAGTGTAGAATGCCCCTTTTAGGAAATTGTTGGCTTCCTATCTTCTTGCCATATGTGGTGTGTCTGACTGCATTATAATGGAGCATTAAGGCCATTGGCCCTTGTCCCTTATTACGAGTTCGAGCAGCCTAGTTGGATGATGATTGTTTGTCTTAAACATTTTTAGATTTGTATATGATCATAACAGTATCTGACAATGCTGCAAGTGTAATCTTCATGTCATGTCAACTTAATGCATGAATTATGCTGGTTTACTCGGTGGTAAATTATTAAACCTTTGTAATTTAATTTGTCCTGTTTGACCAGGTAATTTTTGAAGGAGTTTATGCCTTACATCCTAAAATCCGAAAATCAATTGACCTGTGGATTGCTGTTGTAAGATGACTTTTTACTTGACCTTTTTTGGCTTTACTTTCCTTGCAATCCTCGTAGATATTCTTGCTTTCTTTTCTTTGATGTGACTCTGTATATGGAAATCCAGGTCGGAGGTGTTCATTCTCATCTGATTTCTCGAGTCCAAAGGGACAAAAGTAGAGTGGGGTGTTTTATTTCCCAAAATGAGATTATGATGACGGTCTTTCCAATGTTTCAGCACCATATTGAACCTCATCTTGTTCATGCACATGTTAGTATACTGGAAAGATGCAAAACTTTCTTTTTATTATTTTGTCTCCTTTCATATAATAAATATTTTAATGATTGTTGTGGTTCCACATATCTTGAGATATTGTGCCTTTTTGCTGTTCAACTGTATTTTTATAGTATCCTGTCTATTTTAAGTATTGGATTAATCAATTAAGGCCGTTTCCCGTTCAGAATGAAGTTATTGATTGAAGTTAGAGCCATCAGTTGCCTGAGGTGGATATATTTTAGGCATATATGCCACTGTTTCAAGACTTCTTTTGAGGATTACTAAAATTTGCTGAATTGTCCAATTGTTGTCATGTCTTTTAGGGTTTATATCATTTACTCGTGTGAGGTTGCTTAATATGAAATGCATCCACTGTTATTGAAAAATAACCACCCTAAAAAATATAAATCCCTAAAAATATCGAAAGCCCCCTATAAAAATATAGATTCTACACAACATACACATGCACATTATATTTCCTTTAAAAAAAAAAGGTCTTGATTTGTTAGATTATGCCAAGAACAACACTAATACTTGTGCTGTTGTCTATTATCTTAAGGGTTTTTTCTCTTTAATTAAACCAATTTTATGTCACTTCATATTTTGTGCTTTTTTTTTTCTTTTTGTTTTATTTATGTGTAGTTAATCTTGTTAGGTTTTCTTATCTGTTCTTCATTCTTCAACAAGTGATTCTTAGTGCCTATTACTCTTCACTATCGAAGACAATTGTTATTTGCCAGGGTAGCATTGCTTTTACAATTTTTTTTTTCCTTTGTTCCTGCAGCTGAAAATCCGAAATGACTTTGATCCTGTGCTTTCCCCAGAGAGTTCATTGTTTGTTTTAAAAAGTAACAAGCAAGTATGTGTGCTTATCTCTTCTCTCCTAGGCTTATATATGGTTTTTGGATATTGGCATACTAATATTATTTGTGATCAACCATAGGTGGCATATCAAGACATATTAAAAATCCTTGACCCTGCAAAGTTCTGCAGTTCTGTTCAGAATTTCATTGATATATACTTAACGCTTCCTGGAAGTCCTGTAAATGGGCAATTGTCAGAGGGTGATTGCATTCGTGTAAGAATATGTGAGGGCAGATTTGCATTGCTGATACGGGAGGTGTATATCTAAATTTGTTGAAAACATATGTCCTTTGTATTAAATACTGGTCGTGCTTTATAGAAGTTCAAGGGAATGCTTGATTAAAATATCTTTCGAATTCTCTCTGTTAGCCCATAAGAGAAGGGAATTTCATCATTCAACCCAAAGTGGATTTTGATATTAGCATTAGTACTGTTGCTGGCCTCCTTAACCTTGGGTAAGCCACGTATTTATCAAATTATAGTTTAAATTTAATTATTATTAATTTTCAATCTTTTATTATCATGCCATCTTATGCTTCTTCCTAGTTGTTAAGACAGATTATTTTGGGTGTACTTATCATGTGGCTGGAGAAATGCTGTGATTAGTCTACCTTACTCTGTTTGGGAGTGTCAAAATGAACAGTGTACCCGAACATACTTTAAAGTATTCATAATATGTCCATACTGGAGACAATGATCAGAATTTAAGTTTGACCATGGCAAATTTTGAAGCTTGCATAGAGTTCTCAATATCATTAGTTTCTATGTACTATCTAATGTTGAATATAGTAAGTAGGAAACATGTGTTAATCTGTATATTAAGCTAACCTAGATATTAAGAGGATGAAATATGGTATATATGAAGACTAGTTGAACAAAGAGAAAGGCAGAAAATTGTAATGAAGTGAGTACATCACTGGAGATATTAGAGCTGTCTTGATGGTTCAAATCATGTGAGATCTTGGGTCCAAAAGAAAGCAATAAAGGAGTGTGTTTTTTCTCGGTATGAGACTGATAGTATATTTGAGGAGAAAAAGTGTCATATGCTTTCAAGTATGCTTTACTCTGCATTCTATTTACCTGGCTTCTTTTTGTTGCTGTCCCATAACATGACTTTCCTACTTTTAGCTGTCTTTTGTTGATTATTTATTTTAATGCCTTAAAGTTATTAGACTTATATGCAAGGGGCTGGAATTTGATGTCCTTTTGTCATGTCAGGTATCAAGCTGTAGCTTATATTGACGCATCAGCATTTATCTACCAAGACGGAAAGGTTCACTACTCTAATTTCTTTATGTAACTTCATTTATAGTTGAAAGGCATACTCTCTGAAACAGTCATTTATGACTTTGTGCAACTTTTATTCCTCTTTGCCATGTTCAATCTGTTTTTGTTGTGGTTCTTTTAATTTGATTTTAGATTTGGTGCGTGTGGTGTATGTAGATTCTCATTGAGGTGGATCATCTCCAAGGTGCCTCTAGTCCGTACCTACAGATTAAAGGTGTCAACAAAGAAGCTGTAGCAGCTGCTGGTTCAACACTTAAACTGGATGGTTCATATACAACAAAGGTTGTTTTACACTACAGTGAATTTAAATTATGAGTGTCTGCAATGGTGCCTATTTTCTTATTTGTGACTTGTTTTTGTCTGCCATGCAACCTGTATGGTTACTGACTCTTTCGTGCTACTTTCAGAGTTACCTTCAAATAATTTTGGAAAGATTACCGACAGTGGAAAGAAGTTCAACTGGAATACACACTCAGCAAGCTACAAGGTTGCAGGAACTGGTTGAATTTATACAGTCTCAGGTACTATACTGCGGTTAAATGGGAATATCTTATTCTGAAAGCTAATCTTTCTTTGATGAATAAAAACTTGATATAGATTGATGTTTTTGACAAATAATTTATTGACATTGCATAAGCCTGCAATCTTTGAGGTTTCAGATCCCCCTTCACTTTTATCTTTCGTTGTCTGAGTTAGATGTCACTTCCATGTTGTAATCTCTCTAATTTTTGATATGGTAAATTGTTATGACTTGGAAGTGAAGACATTTGAGCTATAGAAAAATACTTGTGCAACATAATAATCTAGAATAAAGCCCATACATTAAAATGTTATAAATATTTATTGGAGATAATTAACGAATCTTGGATATTTGATAGTTGACTTGTTTATGGTTGAAGAGCACTACATTTGAATCTTTGTAATTTCTAGTATTGATGCTGTGGAATAACCAGCAGGTTAGCAGTTCATCTTCAGAATCCTCACAAGGTAGAGAGGCTTCTTCTGTAGAAGGCATGATTGAAGACATGCAATCCAGGATTAAGAGGCTTGAGCGGTGGCATACCATCAACACGGTAGTTAAAATACGTTCCCCATAGTCTCTTTCATTGCTTTGATTTCGGTTTAATCTGGAAACAAAATATATGATTTTTCTTGTTTACTAGCAGAATATGTATGCATAGATAAGAATTCCCTGTTTTAAGGTCCCTAATCCCTTTACAGGGTTCTAATCTACACGACAAGGCACTTTCTAATGTCTTTTAGATTGAATTGCTTACTGTTTGTTTGTTCTTTTTCTTTTCCGCTTACTGATATGATCATCTGTTGGCAGGTTCTATGGACTTTTCTGATGTCTGCTCTAGTTGGTTATTCACTTTACCAAAGAAAGCGGCAATAACTGACTGACATTTTCATTGGCAAACCTCGACTCTAACAAGGACTCCTAACAGAGTTACATGTTCCTTCTCTTGCCAATAAAATTTCTATTTCATTGATCTTAAAACTTACACCTCAAAGCCTATTGTTTAATTGCTCCCATTTGTAAATACATTGTCTCAAAGAAAAAAGCCAAAAAAGGGCAAAAAATTAAGTGGATCATGATATCTTCTCTGCTCGATGAGTGCATATTTTTACTCGAGTCGGAGAAAACGATATTAATTTCTTTTTGCGCCGAGGTGATTCAAAGTTGAGGGAAAACTGATTGTTTACAAATAATCGTTGTCAAGGCTGTTTATAAGTTATTGATGATAGCAGTTCAAGTTGTTGTTTATAGACTTTATAATCTAATTATTTACAACTGAAATTGCGGGAAGCATTCTGTAAGATCCCGAATTTTTTGCATTGAATATTGTACCATTTGAGATGAGAAATTTGCATAATTCTTGGAATTCAGGATCAAATCGGATACTATGGATAACTAATCCTTTCATCTCGTTATTCTCGTTGCTCTGATTCACAGTATTGTACAAAACTTATGGTCTGTTTGTCTGATAGAACTTTATTATAGAAGACAGACTTAAAAATTACATGCAACTATGGAGTCTGTACAAAATATGTATAAACCTCAACAGCTAAGGTCGTTACAGATGGGTCTTGAACATGCGGGTCGGGTCACCCCACAAATAAGGATTCAACAAAACATATTTCAATATTTAGACTCCGGTTTGGCTCCGAGGTGTAATTTCCAAGTTTTCACGTTTGAACAGAGGAGAGAGCGCTGTCAATTTAAGGAAGGAATGATTCCTTGTTCCTTCATGAAGTAGTACGCAACGATTGCTAGCAATATGAAGAATATAATAATCCACAGATTCAGTCCTGCCAAAAGATTTAACAAAACAGTATGAGTTTTTGTTTTAAATTCCATACGAGCTGCTCCAATTTGAAATGAAATTTAAGATAAACATAACAATAATGTTTTACTTACAACTGAATCATACAAACAGACAAAAATTGTACAAAATTTATATAAAATGACTACTTTGTCTTTTGTTTTTTGTCTGTTTATATGACTCAATTGTAAGCACAGCATTGCTCAAAACTCTATAATATTACTAAAAAGCATGTCAGCTCTCACAAATGTATTTCTAAGTAAGCCGCTTTGAGGCATGGGTGTGTGTAATGAGCATTTAATGAAAATTTTATGGATACAAAGCTTCGAAGAAAGCGCATTGACAAAGAATAATGTTGAATCACAATAGGACATACCAGTAAGGTTTACTAATTATGGTCCTTTTTGAAAAAAAAAAAAAAGCATGGATTTTTATTTCTCATATTATGTGTAAGTGTAGCACTGAAACAGTTTTATGGGCTTCTAGTCAGCTAGTGACTTGTATATAATGTCTCTCAGATGTGCCCCTCTGAAAATGATAAAAGAGGTGATTTGAGTTATTGAACCAACAGATCATGAAAGGGACATACCACTTTTCTTCTTGTCCTCGATTAATGTCACCCTTGCACTTGAGTCCATAGATGCAGAAAGTAAAGCCCTGAATTTAAACATCACATTCTTCATATCAATTTTATTTTAAGACAAAATATTGCAATTTAAATGCTATTAAAAGATATCTCCAGCATGAATACATCAGCCCAGACCTTGAATCATCAGAGAATACCAAAGCTGTCACAAAGCCAAGGTGTGCTTTTCGAACCATTGTGTGAACCTGCATATTGCTTGAATTTATTATTGCAATGTCTCCTTCATCTGTCCCTCTGCATGTCAACCAATCACAAGGTAAGATAAAAGTTCTCATGACAGTTGTGCACAAAATTTTCTTCACGCGGTTAAAGCTAGCAAAAGTCAACAATTATACATTGCAAGGAGCTTGCCATCGGCTGAAACATTGAAGGAAGTGACAGACTGACGGACAACTTGCTTTGCGCGTATCCTCTTCCATGAGGTTGTATTCCATGTCACAATATTTATACCCTTGTCTATGTAAAAATAAAGTCAATGATGGTTAGCTCATAAAATGGTGAAGTGGACAAGGGCATTTCAGCAAGAAAAAAGGCCGATGGCTCCTAAATACTGAAAAATCACCTGTTATTGCAGCAGTGAAAAGAACATAATTCTGATCACTAGATGGAGAGAATCTACAGGAGAAAAAAACCTCATCCTGGATGAATTTAAAAATGGATGTAGTAAATTTTGAGCTCATGTAAAAGAGAATCAACTCTCATAAACAAAAATAAAGGCAAAACAAGACAAGGCTTGAAGATTTTCCTAAAAAAGAATCTTTCTATTCTGTAAGTGTGAAGTGAACATAAGTTCATGATTTGCTTCTTGCATGATCTGCTTCTGGCTGTTGTTTTTTAAGAAAAAAACATAATAGTGAAGAACATTATGCACCACATGCATTAGCAACAATTTAATTAGATCTCCTCAACATGAGGCAGCTTCATTATTTTTATTGACCAAGATTGAGCTAGGCCACCGAAAGCTAGGAAAACAAATGGTTTATACAATATATATAAATGACTCATTGCTTACATTTTCCGTTGGTAGAGAAGCTACAACAGACGCGGAAGTTACATCCCAAACCCTACCAGGGCCACGCTTTCCCAAGGAGACAAGAAATTTTCCATCAGGGCTGTAAGAGAACCAAGCCAAACCATCAGGAGAACTAGATAAACAATAATAAAGCAGTGTATTCATTTTCTTTTCATTAAGCTTGCAGGTTAAGGAATCGACACTCTAATTAATTCCATCACTAGTACAAACCTGAAAGTTAAATCCTTGACAGAAGTATGAGCTTCAGATTCATTAAGAACAATTTCCAGGCTAGGCCACTTTAAAACCCGTAATTTTCCATCCTGCACTGCACCAAAATCTAAGCATCATATACCATGCTATTTTGTTTGAAAAAGACCACAATATGGTCTTACTTATCATTTCACCACAACATAACTAAAGCCAAAACTATAGAAAGCATTTAGTTAATCATTAAGATCCAGGTGCAAAATATTTGGGGTTTCAATTAGTAGGTGGGTAAACATATCTGAAGCATAGCTTACCCCAATAAACAACAGAAAAATCCTCCCTTATTTGTTCACCAATAGCAAAGACTAGAAAGAAGAACAGTAGAAATTCGAGGTAGACATATTACAAGGCTCTTGGGTGTGTGCCTACCCTATGGAGTAGAAAAGGTTGAAGCATAACCAAAACAATGAAAGGAAAAAAAAAAAAAACCATAAAGTCCATGCAGCAATTGTATTTCAAAAAAAAAAGGGGCAGGGTCTCTACCTCACCACCGGCAGCAAGAGTAGAACCCTCAGAGTCAAAGGCTAGTGCTAACTGCAGTCCAACATCTTCAAACTCGCTGAGCACTTTCTCTGAACCTTTTACACCCAGTTTATGGACTTCATCACTCTCCTCTTCATCCCACTCAAACAATCTGCACAAGCAAAGTAAAATAATGAATCAAATTATCAATTCTCCTTGAGGCCTTAATATACTAGCAAAAATATCATTAACCATAACAACACAACAAGATCATTAGTATATGGGAATCCAAGGAGGTGGCTAATCACTAAGAAAAAATAAATCNGAAAAGGGGTAGGATCTCTACCTCACCACCGGCAGCAAGAGTAGAACCCTCGGAGTCAAAGGCTAGTGCCAACTGCACTCCAACATCTTCTAACTCGCTGAGCACTTTCTCTGAACCTTTTACACCCAGTTTATGGACTTCATCACTCTCCTCTTCATCCCACTCAAACAATCTGCACAAGCAAAGTAAAATAATGAATCAAATTATCAATTCTCCTTGAGGCCTTAATATACTAGCAAAAATATAATTAACCATAACAACACAACAAGATTATTAGTATACGGAAATCCAAGGATCACTAAGAAAATACAAATCAAAACAGTGGTTACTCAGCAAATCAGAAATGTAATTTTCAGAACGTCACTCTGGTCTTCCGATATTACTCCAGTCAAATGGTGAAAACAATTGCTGAAATTAAAAAAGAAACCAAATTAAAAATAAGATGGAAACCTGCAACTATTTTGCATTGCACAAATAATGCCATCTCCACGTGGATGAACTGCCATTCGATACGGCAAATCTGAATCAGTTTTAAGCATAGCCACCTGAAGCAGAAGAAAATAAAATCAAGAAAGGTCGATTAAAAAACCTAATTCATTATTTCAACCATGAAGATTCGTCAGGTAAATCTCAAAAGATACTCTTAACTGATATATAATCAAAATATAACATCAAAAAATTTAATAAATCATACTAACAGCTCAAATATGCAAAACCGATCAATTTTTGAGCCTACACACTATACTCAGCTTAGCTAACTTTGAGAAAAGCTTTTGAGTATTGAATTTTGATTCAATACCTCAAAATGCATTGAATTAATATTAACATTAGTAATTAAGATAATTAATTATAAAAAAATGATTATACTTACAGGTTGATCGGAAAGGGAATTGGAGGCGAAATCGAAGCGAGATAAGACGACAGCGTTAGGGATTCCACTGTTGCCTTCACCGCCACCGCCGACCAAAACGACGTAGTCGTGATTGGAGGAAATTGCGTCAGATTTGTCGGCGGTCGGAGCTTCGTCTTCGGATCGATCTTGTTCTTGTTTTTGTTCTTTCGATTCAATCTTAGATCTAATCTGATAGTACGGAACCCAGGCGGCTCCGTAAAACGGCACGCCGTATTTCTGTAAAGCGTGAGATTCCATGATGCTTCTTTTTATTCTTCTTCTTCTTTCTCAGTCTCTCTCTCAACACTCGCCACAGTTTTTACAGGTAAAATTGAGTAATGTTAGCGTTGCTCCCCCTTCTACTCCTTCTCTTACTCCCTTGTGTGGCAGCCGACGTGGCAAATGCCACCTAACTGCCATGTCATCCAATTACCACGTCATTCAGCGCCCAAAATTTTAAAAAAAAAAAAAAACTTCAAATTTCGAAATTTAGAGGGAATTCCCAAAAAAAAAAAAAAAAGAAAATACAATTCCTTTTATGTTTCCCTTAATCATTTGAACCCTAAAAATTTTCCATGTCTAATTTCAATTTTGAAATACCTTAGCCACCATCTTGCAATCTCAGCCACCACCAAGAATCCAAAAATAAGTCGCACGAAGATCACAGACGAAGCAAAAGGGTGAAGAAATGCTGGATTCTCATTTTTGAACCATTCAGAATAGGCGACGGTGAATGACTGTGGTGAAGACAAGCAGCAGTTAGGTGAGTGGCCGATTTATTTGCACTCATTTCCCTTATCTTGTTCTTTTCTTTCTTTCCTGTTGGTTTCAATGGCCGTGGCCGCGGCTTTAGTTGAAGAATCGTTCATGAACGAGACTTTCTCAGCAATGATGTTTGGTTTATTGGAATTTGGCTTCGTTTGCAAAATGGGTTTATTCCGTGGACATATGGCAGTTGAAGATACTGCATGTTAACTGTTTGTGTTAATGTGTGGATGAAGGGTAGATGATGTCAAAGGTTTTGTTTGTGTATTTTAGTATTGGATTTTGATTGCTTGCTAACTGTTTGTGGTAATGTACAGCCATCTGCAACGGCGACCACCACCGAGCTCAGCTATCTTTCAATCAAGCACTCTCTTCCACTGAAGAGGACAAGCCTGTGTTGGATGGAAAAAAATTCAAACCTTTGATTTTTTTCTTTAATTGGGTTGCTTCCGGTTTCTAAATTCTGTTTTAACAGTACTTTATCTCAATAAACTGTTTTTCTTTTCAAAATTTGTAGTACGGGATAACATTAAAATATTATGGAATTATCATAAACATTATATAAACTGTTTTATTCACGTGTCATTTGTATATTTCAAGATGTGAGTTTCATTATGGTTGTGAAAGCCTTTATATATACGTAGAACCATTTCAGTGTTGGACATTCAGAGTTTATAGAATTTTGAGGTGGAACTGTGGACTTCTGCACCTACTTTGTTCTAATCATTAATACTACTATTTAATTCTCAATGTTGGATGCATTGTTTAATCAACAGTAGTTTGCTGGTGTGATTCAGGGGAATTTTTTGAAGATTTTTGTTGCTGCAGTGTTGTGTTTGCTGGGAGTGATGCTGGGGCATGTTGGAGAAGCAGCAGAAGAAAAATGCATTTTTTGCCGGGAAATTGCAGAAGAAAACTGTAGAAAGGTTGCAGAAGAAACCTGCAGTGGGAGAGTACTGCATTTTATGTAGTTTCTGCAATTTTTTCTTTTCTGTTCATGCAGCTAGAATGCTGCATTTTCTGCAGTTGTCTTGCAGAAAATGCAGTGTTTTGCCTTCTGGTTGTGAAGCTTTGTTTAATTGATTAACAGTCTTCAAACGGACAAGTTGTTTTTTTTTTTTGGGTTAATTTTATATTACATTCAATCAGATGTACTGCACAATAATCTACTGTTTTGAATATATTATTTGATACATGATAAATAGACAATTGGTATTTGCAGTTTCCTTTATGCTACACTTTTACAAAATTTACTATTCTGGAAGATGTAAGTGCAAATATATGAAGTGAGAAAAAATGAATTTCAAGAACACTAAGGCCTCATGGACTATCCAATATGAATCTTCAAAAATTCTGATATTGAGGAAGGAGAGATTTTGAATTTCAGGGTTTTGAAATTTTGGGAAAAAGAATTTATATAGGGTTGCCCAAATATGTGAAATTTTGGGTTTGATAATTTTCCAAATTTGAAATTTAGGGAATCTAATTTAAATTAAAAAAAAAAGGAATTTGGGTGCTAGGATGACGTGGCAATTGGGTGACGTGGTAGATGAGGTGGTATCTGCTATGTCAACTGCCACATAAGGGAGTAAGAGGGGGAAACAATAAAGCTAAGGACACCGAAAAACCTGCACCGAAATTGTTTATCGGCCTACGTGTACCAGCCGCGTGAATTTTTTTCAATTTTTTTTCTAGTGAACGGCCGTCCAAAAAATTTGGACTGCTGTTCACTCACATGGATCCCCGTCCATATTATATGGACGGGGGTCCATATACCAGGGATAATCATCCTCATTTAAAGGACGCTCGTCCCTGAATAAAATACAATAAAAATATTTGTTAAACATTAGGGATGATTGTCTAATTCTTGATAAAGTTAGGGACACCGAAATTGTGTATCGGCTACGTGTACTAGCCGTGTGAATTTTTTTTAAATTTTTTTCTAGTGAATGGCTGTCAGGGGTCCATATACCAGGGACGGTCGTCCCCATTTAAATGACGCCCGTCCCTGAATAAAATACAATAAAAATATTTGTTAAACATTAGGGACGGCTGTCCATAAATAATGGACGCCCGTCCTTGACCCAAAAATTAAAAAATAAATAAAAAAGCTTTGGGGACGCCCGTCCACCAATTGTGGACGCCCGTCCCTTACTTTTTCACGAGCGTCCGTGCATAATGGACGCCCGTCCATTATTTTAATTTTTTAAAAAACAAAATAAAAATGATGGACGACCGTCCTTTTATTGTGGATGGGCGTTCGTAAGTAATGGACGCCCGTCCATTCTTTATGGATGGCCGCCCATAAAAAATGGACGGGCGTCCATTATTTAAGGACGCCCGTCCTTTAATGTAAAAAAAATTTAAAAACAAAATTTTTAAATTTTAATTACATTTGTTTACTGCGAATAACATTAGCTTCTCCAATACGCTTCCGCCAAAATTCTTCCAGCGAAAGAAAACCAGCGCCAAAATTTGTCTTCCCCTTCTGCTTCATCGTCGCCGTCTCGTTGCCGTCTGTTCTTCGCCTCTATGTTGCGTCTACATTCCTCAGCCATTTCTTCCTGCAACAAACGTTTTTTCCTCATTTTCCAGCAACTGTGTGAAGAACGAAAGCTATAAACTTTTCATCTAACCATTTTTTTTACAGTGGAAAGGGAGATTAGAAAGATTTGTCCAGGTTATTAACCGATTTTTATAAAATTTATGCATTTATTTAGTTTATTTACAGTGGAAAAGGAGATTAGAAAAATTTGTCCAGTCGTTAACCGATTTGTATATAACTTATGTATTTATTTAGTTTTGTATTATATTTTGGATTGAATATATGTTACAATAGAAAAAAACTGATAGAGAAAATTTGTTGGTGATTGTTACGAATCAGATTCGTGAACGTGAACACTAGTATTGGATTTGCGTTAAATTTCAGAATATGAAAGAGTCCAGGTTGCCTCAGAATATGGAAGAGTCCAGTTTGCCTCAGAATATGGAAGAGTCCAGTTTGCCTCATTTCAATGATGTTGAGGTAAATTGTGCTCGAAACCTTAACTTTTTCGTTAACATTATTTTAAATTTATTATATCGTACTGTTTATTTTGATGTGTTGTATTTATATATTCTACTTTTATGTATTATAAAACTATTAAATCAGGAAAATGAACGTGATGAATTAGAAGATATGGGATGTTCAGAGGAAGAAGTAGAGCCTCATATTGGAATGGTGTTTGATTCAGTTGATAGTCTAGTGAAGTATTATAAATGGTATGGTAACAAAATGAGATTTGAAGCAATGATATGTACGTCAAAGAAAGGCGAAGATAGAGAGATGAGATATGTGACAGTGGCATGTTCTTGTTCTGGAAAGGAGAGATATAAGTCCAAAAATACCTTGAAAAAACAACCTGTTACCAAAACAGGTTGTAAGAGTCGGATTAGTGCAGCTTTGAATGGTGAATGCAAATGGGAAATTAAATCAGTTGTACTTGAACATAACCATGATCTTACAAGTCTGACAAAAAGAAGATATTTCAAGGTTAACCGAACGATACAACCTTATGTGAAAAGGCGACTTGAAGTTAATGATGTGGCTAGGATTAGACCGTGTAAAAATTTTCAGTCATGTTCAGTTGACGCAGGAGGTGTAGAGAATTTGACGTTTCTAGAAAAAGATTGTAAGAACTACATTGAAAAAGTGAGAAAGTTACGACTTGGAGTCGGAGATGCTTCTGCAGTACTTGAGTATTTTAGGAAAATGCAAAAGGAGAATTCAAATTTCTGGTACATGATTCATGTAGATGAAGAGAGTCGATTATAGAATGTGCTATGGGTTGATGCTAGATGTAGGGCTGCATATAAAGAATTCGGTGATGTTATCACCTTCGACACAACGTATCCGACAAACAAGTATGACATGCCATTTGCTGCTTTTGTGGGGGTTGATCATCATGGACATTCGATGTTGTAAGGTTGTGGGTTAATTTCTCATGAGGACACTGAGACATTTGTATGACTATTTCGTTCTTGGCTTGAATGCATGGATGTTGCTCCTAATGGAATAATCACTTATCAAGATAAGGCCATGCAAAATGCAATTGAGATTGTTTTCCCTGGTACAAGACATAAGTGGTGTTTGTGGCATATAATGAAGAAACTGACTGAAAAGTTTAGGGGCTATAAGGAATATGAAACTATCAAGTTTAAGTTGCAAAATGTTGTGTATGAATTTAGAGGTGGAACAAATGGGTTGGGTTAGGCGGGTCAACCCTAACCCGGCCCGTAATGAAGCGGGTTGAACCCGAACCCCCAATATGGAGGTCCAGGTTGACCTTAACCTGGCAGCAACCCCCGGGTGGGCCGGGTTGCAAAATGGCAACCCGCAACCCGGCGGGTTGCCATTTTGTCTCTTTTAAAAGAGACCCGCCAACCCGCCGGGTCGACTGTCAACCCGGCGGGTTGATTGTTATATAATAACGGCTAATCCGCTTTTTTTCAAATTACCCCTTTACCCTTGAAATATAGCCGTTGGAGGGGTCTTTTTCGTCATTTTTCTTTCCCATTTTTTTCTATAAATTGGCCCTAAACTCTCACATTTTTCTCACAACTCAAATTCTCTCATTCTCTCATATTCTCTAATCTCTAATCTCTAATCTCTCAATTATTCATTTATTCTCTTAATCTCTTTATTATCAATTTGCTCGTATTTTAATTTTTATTAGTTTTTGCAATTTTTAATAAAGATATGGGATGTGCAGAGGAAGAAGTAGAGCCTCATATTGGAATGGTGTTTGATTCAGTTGATAGTCTGGTGAAGTATTACAAATGGTATGGTAACAAAATGGGATTTGAAGCAATGATACATACGTCAAAGAAAGGCAAAGATGGAGAGATGAGATATGTGACAGTGGCATGTTCTTGTTCTGGGAAGGAGAGATGTAAGTCCAGAAATACCTTGAAAAAATAACCTGTTGCCAAAACAGATTGTAAGAATCGGATTAGTGCAGCTTTGAATGGTGAATGCAAATGGGAAATTAAATCAATTGTACTTGAACATAACCATGATCTTACAAGTCCAACACAAAAGAAGATATTTCAAGGTTAACCGAACGATACAACCTTATGTGAAAAGGCGACTTGAAGTTAATGATATGGCTGGGATTAGACTGCGTCAAAATTTTCAGTCATCTTCAGTTGAGGCAGGAGGTGTAGAGAATTTGACGTTTCTACAAAAAGATTGTAGGAACTACATTGAAAAAGTGAGAAAACTACAACTTGGAGATGAAGATGCTTTAGCAGTACTTGAGTATTTTAGGAAAATGCAAAAGGAGAATTCAAATTTCTGGTACATGATTGATATAGATGAAGAGAGTCGATTACTGAATGTGCTATGGGTTGATACTAGATGTAGGGCTGCATATAAAGAATTTGGTGATGTTGTCACCTTCTACACAACATATCTGACGAACAAGTATGATATGCCTTTTGTTGCTTTTGTGGGGGTTGATCATCATGGACATTTGACGTTGTTAGGTTGTGGGTTAATTTCTCATGAGGACACTGAGACATTTGTATGGTTATTTCGTTCTTGGCTTGAATGCATGGATGTTGCTCCTAATGGAATTATTACTGATCAAGATAAGGCCATGCAAAATGCAATTGAGATTGTTTTTCCTGGTACAAGACATAAGTGGTGTTTGTGGCATATAATGAAGAAACTGCTTGAAAAGTTAAGAGGGTATAAGGAATATGAAACTATAAAGTTTAAGTTGCAAAATGTTGTGTATGATTCCTTTACGCGTGAAGAGTTCGAAGAGCAGTGAAACCAATTTGTTGATGTGCACAACCTTCACGAAAATGCATGGTTATGTAGATTGTACAAAGAAAGAGTACGATGGTGCCTGCATTTCTTAAAGATACTTTCTGGGCAGGTATGTCTACTACCCAACGTAGTGAAAGTATGCATACATTTTTTTATGGGTATGTAAATTCCAAAACTACTTTGAAATAATTTGTGGAACAATATGATAATACATTGCGAGCTAAAGTGGAAAAAGAAAGGGAGGCTGATTTTAGATCTTTCAAATCTTGGATACCATGCATAACTAATTACCCTATTGAGAAATAATTTCAAATTGTATACACAACTGCAAAGTTTAAAGAGTTTCAAGAAGAGATTGCAGGGAAGATTTATTGTGAGTTATCTTTTCTGAATAAATATGATTCATACG